CATAACGATGCATGTGGTGGTCATTTTTCTGTGAAAAAGACCGCCGCAAAGATCTTCTAGTGTGGTCTTTATTGGCCTACTTTGTTCAAAGACACTAATCAATTCTGTCGTTCCTGTGACCGGTGCCAGAAGTTAGGTTCTTTGTCCCGACGCCACATGATGCCTTTAAACCCGATTCTCGTGATAAAAATATTCGATTGTTGGGGGATCGACTTTATGGGACCATTTCCGCCTTCTTCTGGATACCTTTACATCCTCCTCGCTGTGGATTACGTTTCTAAATGGGTTGAAGCCGTGTCATGTCGAACCAATGATAATGCAATAGTTGTTAAGTTTTTGAAGGAGAATGTGTTATCTAGGTTTGGCACTCCACGTGCTATCATCAGTGATCAAGCTACTCATTTCTGCAACCGTTCATTTGAGGCTCTTATGCGCAAATACGGTGTGCTTCATAAGGTTGCTACTGCCTATCATCCACAAACGAATGGCCAAGTTGAATTGGCGAATAGGGAGATCAAACAAATTCTGAAAAAGACAGTAAACCCCGACCGCAAGGATTGGTCCTTACGTCTTCTCAACGCTCTCTAGACATACCGCACTGCTTACAAATCTCCTCTTGGGATGTCTCCCTATAGACTTGTCTTTGGGAAAACCTGTCATTTACCTGTCGAGCTCGAACATAAAGCTTATTGGGCCGTCAAGGCCCTCAACTTTGATTTCAATGCTGCAGGTATTCAAAGAAAGCTCCAATTGTCTGAGATTGAGGAGTTAAAGAACGACGCATACGACAATTACAGGATCTACAAGGCAAAAATGAAAGCGGCTCATGACAAGCAGATCCTGAGAAAGAATTTTGAGCCAAATCAGCGGGTGCATCTTTATGACTCCCGTTTGCATCTCCACCCAGGTAAGTTAAGGTCGCGGTGGACTGGTCCATTTGTGGTGAAACAAGTTTTTCCCAACGATGCTGTCGAGGTCCAGGACCCAAGCGATGGGAGAATATTCAGAGTCAATGGCCAGAGACTGAAGCATTACATTAAGTGTGTGAGCCAAGCTAAAGAGATCATTCTCGAGGCTCCGATTTACCAACTTTGAGGAGTTTGCTTCTAACCCTTTTGTATCATATTTTTGTTTCTTTGTTTTATTTTTGGTTTGATTTTGTGTGCTTTTATATATGTTTTTATTTTTATTTTGGAGAATCAGTTCAGGAGGCTCGACTTAGTTCCAATGTTCATCATCCAGGTGTTCTCTTTCCCTGTCTTCTTCGTATTGCATATCCTTTTAGACATTGAGGACACTGTCTAATTTTGGGTTGGGGGTGGTGAGCATATTCATGCGTAAGATTAATTTTTGTCTTGTTGTTATTTTGGGTCAAAATTTTTGCAAGATTTTCTGAGTATGATTTCAAAATTTTTGGTTTGAGTCAGTTTTTGCTATCTTAATTACCAAGAAATGATTTCCAGAGTTATTTTTGAGCACATGCTAGACCTTGTGGTAAGAGGGTTGTTGACACATTTAGTTGAGAAAAATTCCCGAGTTTAAGATTTTCATTTTTGGTGAGTGAGAGAGTTGAGAAAACAGCTTTTTGAACTTTCATGACATTTGCTTGAGGGATGATTTCTGGTTAGGAATAATTTTTAGAAATTGAGCCATGTGTTGTAGATAGTCATCATTTTTCTTTTACATTTTATCATAAAAAAAAAAAGAAAAAAGAAAAAAGAAAGAGCAAGAGCATCATTTATCATCAATGTTTACGTAGTT